TGTGTCCCTCAAGGGACAGAGAGAGGAAAGGAGCGAGCGAGAGAGAGAGAGAGAGAGTAGGGGCGGGCCCGGCTCACTCATGTGGGTCTCTTCAGTGAGAGCCTCGGGGGTTGGGGGTGGGTCGTTGGTTCCTGCTGGCTTCAACCAGGGAAGCGGCGACAGGAGGTGTAACGGTGCCGGGATCGCGTTCACCGCGCTCGGCAGCTCCTCCTCACGGAGTCGCTGTCCGCGGTGCTGAAAGAGAACGTCACTGACGGAGAGTCGGGAAGAGAATTCAAAGGAAAAGTCCGGCGATGTTTGCCAACCACGAAGCCACATTAGAGTAAAGCCAAGGGAATAAAAATGAAGTCGATTATCAATGCCTTAAAAAAGGAAGGTAAGAAAAAAAATGTTTGTTTTTTTGTTTGTTTTTCTTTCGTATCGTGGTGCTTTCCGTCCACGCGCGTAAAAACATCTACCTGAACTTCAGGTGCTCACAAAGTCATCTCCTGGCGTCTCCGCGTAAAGATTTATATTTATTACCAGGTTTTATTCAAAGTGACTCCTCAGCGTGAATTAATGTTAATGTTCTCTGTTCTTTTCTGGCCTGATCCGCGCTTTGACTGTGAGGATGAAGGAAGGTCGACGCGTATGTAGGTTAGAGAAGAATCACGAGTAAGTGATTGAAAAAAGAGAGTGAGAGAGAGAGAGACATCTGGGACACATTTATTACGTCACTTTGGGAAAAATGGGACTCCACCGTACACAGTCCAACTTCCCCTTTCCTTTCCATGTCAACCTGCCCCTTCAGCCGCTCCTGTTTTTTTCTTTTTTTTTTTTCAATGAACCCGGAGTGTGGCAGCAGTTGAGCGGCCTGACAGCATTGAGGTGACAGTCGTGTCGTGTGGCTGCACTTCAGATGCCACTGCTGCTGCTATAATTAACATTCTAACTGATGTCCTCATATAGAATCGCTAATTAGTGCCGGTATTGGATTAATTGAGCCGTAAGGATTTGCTTGATTGCACTGGAGAAGGAGGTTATATGTGGAATTTAACTAGGATTTCAGTGCAACGAACAATTTTTTTTACTTGAAAAATGATTTTACATGTAAAGAAAAATGGCGATAAAGAAACAGCGTGTACATTTGGCTGTGGTTGTTATTGTTTTTTGGGGGTTTTTTTTCCACTGCTTGTGTTTTCAGAGGCAACACAAAAAATGTGTGTCTGAAGTCTGAGTGAATGTTAAAAAAAATGGATTGTCAGTTCTCCATAAAGAGAGGAGCAAAGGTGGGTTTGAACCAGTTTAAGGTTAACATGTGGCAGGAAGATAGTTACAAGAAAGAATAAAAGTTTGCAGGGTGTCGTGGAGCTGCTAGTGATTTGCAGACAATGCTTTTTTTTCTGGGACATGAGGCCAGCAGAGGGAGAGATGCTGAGATTTTTTTTTTTAAGTGACCAAGACGGACTGGATTACAAACCAGAGCAACTAGTTTTGAAGAAAGGTGTGAGTAAGATGGATACCTGCTGTGAGATGTAGCCCAGTGATTCTGTCTGTGTTTGGTTTTCCAATTCTAAAACATGTAATATTATTTTCTGCATTGACTTTAATCTATAAATAGTCGCCGTAAATATCAAACAGTCTTTCAAAACATGTTCTAAGAGTGTCTTCATGTCAAATATCAAAGTGGTAAAAAGAACAGAATTCTAATTTGATTTTTTTTTAATCTAAAAAAAAACTACACGCATTAAATTTTACTGCCATAACTGACTGTCAACTTTTGTTTTTTAAAAATAGAACCACAGCAAAAGGGGTTTTGACTCTAAACTCTCAGTCAGTCTGTCCATGAAATGTAAAAATCTAGTCCTTGTTGACACGATATGAGCTCTTACTGTTTATTAATTATATGGAGTCAATCTGAAAATATCTGTTGACAAATGTATGTTGATTCATGGATCCACTCAGTTCAGGTTATAATTATGTTGTTTCCCCTAATAATGAATCCTAATTTGTTTTGTATTTTTATATATAGAAGAATTGTAAACAGAGGTTCAGCTGAAGTGATGAATCATCACAATCTTGCGTCACTGCTGACTGTGCCTGGTCACAAGAACAGCAAATTACACCCTTGACTTCTCAGTAGCACAGGCTAAGCACTGAATGGTTTTGATTTTGATCCCTCGTGTACAGAAATTGACTCCAGGTGCCCTCGGCTGTGATGAAGGAATCTAATTCAGTATTGTTTTATACAGAAGATGAATGTGTGGATTTCAGTAAAAGCTGATTAATTAACAGCTTCAAACATCTGACGGAATGTTCAAACTGCGATCTTATTTCTTAAACAGTTTCCCATTTTAAAAAAAGAGGCAGACAGTTCCTTTTTCCAGTTTTCAACTCACCCTTCCTCCTCCCTCCTTAACACTCACCCACCCATGCTTCTTCAGCTCACAGATACCATTGCCTCCTCCTCCTTTCCTCAGAGGTAACTGAACCAGTTACATTAATTTTAAATCTAATTTACAGAAAAGATGTGACTCTGAGGTCGCGGCCTGGTCATGACTTTAATAATCGAGCCGTCAAATACTCTCTGTCCCTCTCCTGTCCTGCTTTATCTCTCATTTTCATCTGAATAGTATCAAATTGACTAAATCGACATCACGTCCCACTGAAGTGTTGGACAAACTTGATATTTATCCAAACCTTTAGGAAACCTGTTAAATACTTGTACAGTAGTGAGAATTATACTCAGTTCTACGTTAAAGGCTTCAACAATGGCTGTGTCCATTTCTTATATAGGATTTATCCTAATTTTTTTAATTTATTTTTTTGTCAAATCTTCTACTTGATGCTGCACTTTCCTTTGCCTACTTTAGCTCTGTGTGTGATAACCTTTTTTTTTAATTAATGTATGAGCTTTCCATATATAAACGTCACCCTTGATTTTAATAAAAGTTAGCCATGACCCTTTGTGGTACTTGTCCAGATTCCATGTCAGGTCTGCAGTTCTCCAAACAAGCATGATTGCAGTGTCCTCGGCTTCACAAAACAAGTTAGCCGTGACCCTTTGTGGTACTTTTGTAGTTCTCCAAACAAGCATGAGTGCAGTGTCCTCGGCTTCACAAAACAAGCCCCAATCACAGCTGTGTTGAGAACAGTGTGAAAATCCTTCCCCACGTCTGTGGATGCAGACTCCTGCTGATGCAGCGTACAGTGCATCACAGCAACAACTGACGGATTTACACTGTTGAACTGTGCCATAATTCCACTCGTCTCATCATCACGGCTGCACCATCTGCACAGACAGTCACACTTTATTTATTTTTTTCCAGTCTCACTTCAGTCATGAATGCATTTAAAGGTCTGAACACTTTGGTCTGTGAGGTGTCGTCTTATATAGTGTTATCAGTGTCTCTCTCTCAAAATATGGGTCATAGACCCTCTAGTGGTCCAGGCTGTAGAAAAACACTGATTTAATTTAATCCATTTTATTTTGTGAGGGACGCAAAAATCTTAGTTCCACTCAATAAGTTTGTCAATACCAGGAATGTACGATAATATCGGCCGATAGTAGCCTAATTTGTAACTGGTTTTTCCTCCAATAATTAAAACCCAGTAACATAATTTCAGAGTTTGGTCCAGATGATGTGACCTAAAAATAGTTTTAAAGTTAAACTAATATTTGTATTGTGCACAGTGTTGTCATTTGGAATAGGAAATTAAGTGTTTGGACAATATCGGCATATTGGTAAAAAGTTAATATGTCTGGTCAATACTTAATTAATTGTAACAATAAAATACTTTGACCAACGTATATAATAACATTTTCTTGTTTCAACAGTTAATATACTGTTAATTGAGTGAAATGTGTTTAATTTGAACTGAATTTTCCCCAGGTTTACAGTTGTGTTAGTGTGACATGCCAATCATATTGACATAGTCCACAGTAAGAAGACAAATTCTCACCCAAATGGGGGACGAGATGGAGCAGAATGTTTTTTGATAATTGCATGTAACAGCCAAACATCTGCCAGACAGTTCTTCTGGCAGAGGATCACAGTTTTAGACCCAGGCTCAGCCACTTGAGTGCAGGTTGTTATAGTGTCATGTGACGGGGAAAAACTGCCAACTTCAAAACAGGTGCAGTTCATGACCATCTCCTTCCACCAATGATTTTAAACCTTGATTTGCAGATCTATGATCTTAACATTGTGCTGTTCAGGAGAATCCATCGCAATGTTTACCTGTCACGGCTGCCAGTCTCTGTCGTTGTCCTTCAGTAGACACTGGGATCCTTCATACAGAGGATTGTTAAGTCAGCCTAAAACAGATTATAGCCAGAGTTGTTACATAATCCCCTCAATTGCATTACAGCCCATGTACTTCTCTACAAATATAATTGTCCTCTGGGGAGACATGGTTACGTCCACTGCCTACATATTGACTTTGGACTCTGCGTGTTTCGCTGCTGGAACCAAAAACACACCACAGACAAGCACTCAGATAGTATGTGCTAGCTCATTAGCTCTTCGCGGCTCTTCTCCCCATCAAAACGAGTCCAATGTAAATGGAGTGAAAATTGAGAGCTGCCGAAAATATGGATCTGCTAACGAGTGATAATGACTCAGTAATCCCTGCATCCTACGTGTGCGAGATAAAGGACTCAGAAAAACAACCAATAATTCTTTTAACTTTTAAGCCCCCCCAAAAAATCAGCTGATTATCAGGAAATGCTGTTGCTGTTGCTATTGCTGTTGCTGTTGCTGCTGCTGCTGCTGCTGCTGCTCGGTCATAATTGCCACTAGCTGGCAGCATGATGTCGACAGAGTGAATCCATGGGGAAATCAAGGCTGACCTCCATTGCTGCTCAGTTTGACAGTGTTGTGCAGCCATGACGTCCTGATAGTCATGTTCATGATCGTCAAAGAAATGGAGGGAGCCAATCACAAATTGCTGCTCAATGATAATTGCACAGGTAAAGACGACATAAAGTTGATATAACCCTGTGTCTTGTTTGTCTGCAGTGCCTTTCCGGGAGGCTCCAGCGTACTCCAAACGCCGCCGGGGGCCGTCTTCTGGAAACAGCCCCTCTGCATCCACCTTGTCTGCGCCACGCGTCCTCCTGCGCTCAAACAGTGACAACAACCTGTCCGTCAGCCAATACCAGCAGCAGCCGTCGCACCACGGTTCTCCCACTAACTGGGCTCCCCATCATCACGCCCAGGGACATCTGCAACGGGGCCCCCAGCAGGGTCACTCGCAGTCTGGCTCCTCAGCATTACACCGCAGCCTGTCCCCTCAGCTGCTCCAGCAGATGCCCAGCGGCAGCCCCAATGGCAACGTGGTGGTTCGGACTATGGGAAGGGGGGCACGGAGCCGCTCGCCCTCCCTCAGCCGGCTGGGGGAGGAGGCCCGACGAGCCCTGCCCTCACAGAGGCAGCCCAGGTGAGAACGGGGTTGGGGTTTGTGAGGTTTTAAGGCTGATAGTGACAAGGTCATAAAAGATCATTAAAATATTTATTTTATTTAAAAATCTATGAATGGTCTCACCACGGTGAGGAGGAGAGCGTCATCTCTTCACCTTTCTGTGGTCCACGTGACTCAGAACAGCCAGCTGTTAAAGTCGGTGAACGAATCACTCTCAGCTCGTCTCATCACGGTTCCCAAATGTGTTCCAGTCTGAACAGTGATTTGGCACCGTTTTTTTTTTTTCTTTTACACCTTATGCTAATTCTGATCCATCCCTGGGATGTGGGATTAGAGACTAGATGAAATCAAAACCAGAACCTCACACTCACCTCCCAGAATCCCTTTTCGACTCATCCCTTCATCAGGGCTTCAACAATACTGGATCACAGCTTCAGGTTTTTTTACACCGGAGGTTTCTCTGGGCAGACCCAGGATCCTGCCACTGAGCCACTCGTTCCTTCCTCCGCCAGATGTTAAGCCTGGTATTTGCCTCATGTTGAGCGTCCTTTATATACACTGAAATCACTACCCAGAATATTCCACACACAAACATTTCAAGTCTGTGACTGTGATTTTTTTAAGGAAATCAGTTCCTCACAAAATAATTACAACTTGCATGCAGTCTCTATGGCAGCAATTGCTATGGCTGCCCACGGCCAGAGTTTGTGTGTGTTTGTGTGTGTGCGTGTGTGTGTCAGATTAGAGTGTGAAAGGCGTTTATCTTACAGAAATGTAGCTGTCAGTCCTGATTATTAGGACACCTTGAATTTTGTCCCCTTAAACGTCCCTCCTCCTCATCATTCTCCAACTCTGGGACTCTGGGTTTTTCCCCTCTACATTTTACTACTCATTATTTTCCTGCTCCTCCCATCTCTCTTCCATTCTTTGTTTTGCTCTTTATTCTCTTCCTTGAACTTTTTTCCTCCAGTTTCCTCTCTTTATGCTCCTGACAGTTTTCTCCTCCACTCCTCTCATTCCCTCTCCCCTAATCTCCTCCAGTTTTCTCTTCTTTTTTCTTCTGTTCCTCCCCTTCTTACTCCCCCTGTTCTCCTCCTCTTACTTTCCTTATGGCCTCCTCTGCTCTCCCTCTCTTCATCCTTCGTTCAAGAAAAGAATAAGAGAAGGAGGAGGAAAGAATTAAAAGAACAGAATGAAGGGGATAAGAGCGAGGGTGGAGGGGACGTCAAGTGATGGAGGAGCTGAAAGACCGGGCAGAGACACGGGGGAGGACAGTAACATGAACATCACTATCATGACTACACATTAAAAAAACACAACTGATGTGGAAGATGCCTCTGTAGTTTGACACGGAGAACGGACCTATTTCATGTCAAATTGATGTGTGTGAGTGTGTGTGTGTCAGATTAGAGTGTGAAAGGCGTTTGTCCTACAGAGATGTAGCTGTCAGTCCTGATTATTAAGACGGATGTACTGTAGCTGTCAGTCCTGATTATTAAGACACACACACACACACCCTCTTCTCCGTCTTCTCTTCTGCTAACTCACCGCCAACATTCTTGACCCTCGGTCACTCTGTAACCGTACGCGCCTCTTTGTCTGGACTGCGCCGACCTAGTGGTGGATTTATTGATCATTTCATCCACATGTTGCCTAATGGATTTTGCTTCAGCGTGTAATTGAATTCCTGCCCCTCCCTCTGCAGTCATTGAGCACAGCTGTTCTAATGACTGAAGCAAAAAAAAAGAATCGAGGAGAATCGATTAGACTGTTATATGCAAATGTAAATTGCACAAAATCACATTCACAGCTAAAGGACTTCTATTCATAGAATACTGAATATAAATCTATTTGTCATCACGGTCTTTGAAGCGGTGTGTTTTTAACTCCTATCTTTATTTTTATTCGGCCATAGATTTGCGGATGTCTTCAGTAAAAACGTGAAATGAAATGGCCAATAAAGACTGAACATAAACTCCTTCACAGAGCTCTATATACACAAAGTGCTTCAACCGTTAATGTTGGGGTGAAGTTGACAGTGATGGCGAGAAGTGGCGGGAACAGAGGGTAGGATGCATCATGATGAGCATGTTGAGGTGATAACTCACTGTCAACTCTGCTGCTACTGCGAGGGCTTCCGCATGTCAGCGGTTCGTTTGAGGCACAGTAACATGTAAAGAAACATCATAGTTGGACTTAGAGAGAGTAACGCATGTATATGTTAATAGAAATGTATGCACAATTTCTGTAAACTTATCAGAAGGTCAGGAGTTTGATTCCTTCTCCTGAGTATGTAATCGTGCCTTGTCATTTAGTCACAGACTGCATTTCTTGTTTCATAATAAGGAGGTTATCTTGATTAAAATCTGCACATTCCCTCATCTTAGGCCCTGTTGGTCTATATGCCCATGTGTCCATGGGGAAGACCCTGAGCCCCTGGCTCAGCAGATTTAATCAGAGTGTGTGTGCAGAGAATTTAAATGGATCCTAGAAATGAATTAACGGGACAGTGAGCGGTGAACGGTGAACATGAGCCGGCAGGGAGACGCTCTCCGGTTGATTTCATTTATTTCCATTTATTTTTACATGAGATTTAACGATGCTGCACTAACAAAATTCATTTAACACCCTTTTCTGTGCAGAACTAGGACTGCATACAGTAGTTGCCAAAGAAGAAACTTTTATATTTAGTAAAACAGGACCCAGTATTTTGCAGCTCTCTGAAATGAGTCCTTTCATTTGTCGTTCCTACACATTATCCCAGTCATTCCCTCTTTTCTCCCACCTTCACGTCTCCTCCTCTTCCTACACAGACACCACGCTCTCAGACACATGTACGCTGACACACATTCACACACTCTCTTACGCTCACACACACACACACAAGCGAACACACAGTGACAGCTGTCAGTCATGCCACTGGGAGTCATGGCAACAGCTTCCCAGTTTGATTTGGGTGAGAAATGAGACACGAGGCTGCGTCATTAGCGTACACATCATATGGAAACTCTGAGAAAGTTTTTGGTCTTTTAATTTTTTTTTTTTTGCACATGACTGAAGACAGACAGGAAATTTATTCATACAGTTTGACTATAAACACGACCTAATTATGCTTTTCTTCTTTGGGTTTTTCAATAGGACTTTATCCATTTAGTTCCATTGTTGTTCTTTTATTTCTCCTGAATGCTTTTTAACAAAATATAAAGTTTAAGAAACACTTCCTGTCACTCCTCCAATTTTAAAATTGCTGGTATTCTGGATGCCAAACCCAGTATTCTGCTCTAGTGGTCCTAACCAGTTTAGTGCCTTGCCACCAATATTGCCCACCATTCTCTCCATAACCCTCCACACATCTTGGTAAAAAAAAAGAAGAAGAAATTTTGTTGATGTTGAATAACTTTTATTTAAATGATATAAGGTGACTAACCAGGTGAATTTATTTATTTCTTTAGTTTACACAAACTGTTGACTGTAGACAAATAGACAGATATTTAACTTTAAGGGGGCAGGGGCAATTCCAGCAATCACCAAGTGATGGCAGTGTACTAGTTCATCAGAGGGATGCACACAGTACAAAGACCAAGCCATTCCCACTCACATTTAAACCCCTGGTCCACAGAGTGCACCATGTATCCCTGTCCCACATTAAATTAAAAAGCGGCGCTGACTGCAGTGGACCAGAGGTGAAATCCAGCAGCCATGTAATCTGTGGTTTCTCTCTCTCTTTTTCTGGCCATTACCCAGGTGGTTTTGAGGTGCTAATTAGGCTGTGTTGATTAACACCAGCTGTGCACAATCTGTGCTATTATTGGACGATCACCAGAGAGTGAAAAAGAGAGAGAGAGAGTGTGTTTGAATTATCATCACAGTATAAGCTCTTTAAACGTACACAGTATATGGATTGGGTCAGTCCGCTCGGTGAAGCCCACTGTGCTGCATCACCATGTTCAAACAGTACAAAAACCGTTCGACTGATTAACCCTTTCACACTCATATCACTCAGGGTCAATTTACTGTGACTAATTACCGAGTCCTACATGATTATGGACTGTGGGATGAACCTGCTTCATACAAAGACCTGGAATTGAACCGTCAAATTGCTAATTCACTGATATTACTATACCAACCATCAGAGTTTAGGATCATCATTGGCTGCTGGGAATGATGAACAACATTCTACAAACTAATTCTTAAGCTTGTTTAGTTTTTTTTTTTTAGTTTTTTTAAGTTTGACATGTCCATGTTATTTCAGTGGTTCTTCTTCGTCCAGTTCATTCATTTTCACACACCTCTGTAGCTCCAGCTGCTCCAGCGGCGGCGGCCCGGTCGGTGGTGTTCCCTCAGAAAATGAGTCGCTTCAGTAGTGTTGAATGGGGTTAGTTCTCCAAAGACTTGTGAAGGTTTCACAAGGAGCTCAGACTACAGGACAAGGTGACCCACTTACTGAAAAAACTCCCTCTCAGTTTCGTTCCAGATCCTAATTTCTCCTCTTTAATCTCCATATTATTTCTTTGTTGTGTTTCATCTGTAGAAAACTTGAAGAAAGAAGAAAGTCAGTTCATTTAAATAAGTGAAATTCCTTCCCCTTTCTTGCCACCTGATAAATAAAAGTCCCCACTTCGTGGCACACGCTGTTTCTGTGCCTGGTAGTTGATGGTGTCTGAATTTAAATGTTTTACTGATCCTTTCTTAAATTATTGACATTGCCATGTTAGTTTAATTCCTGTTTATTTACCATCTCTGCAATATTAAAACATCATGTATTTAATTTAGTAACTCCTGCCGTTTGCTTTAAACAACAACAAAAAATGTTTTGGCTAAAAACACATTTCACAGAAGCCAAAGTATCCTCATGAAAAATAATTTAAAAATCGACTAAATTTAAAGGATTGTTTTCGTTGTTTACTCACTTGAAGCCTGTGTCTGATCTCACTGTCTCTTGTGGAAGGTGTTATAGAGTTTGTCCACTAAGTGGCGCTACATTATCACGTCAGACACCTCAGCCTGGTCGGTTTTCATGGTCACGTGACTCTAAGAACCAGTGTCAGACAAAACCCATGTATAAAGTCAAAGGCTCAGTTTCAAGTGGTCTCATTTTGTAGTTGCCTCTTTTAGTCTTTTTTACCCAGACTCCTTTGCAGCTCTGTGGGTCAGATCCAGTCTGTGTCCTGTCCTATTTACTGCTTCAAGACATACAGTACATCCAGAACATGTATAAATGTGTGTGTGTGTCTGTGTTGGTATAGATACATACAGGAGACCACAGGAATTGTTTTGTAAAGGTTTTTGACATGATTTTGATTTGTTGCTTTAAAATGTCATTAAACATTTACCCTGTGTGTAATATGTTAAATGTGAAATATTTCTGACAAAATTTTGATTTGCACTTTCATCAAATGCAAATGCTTTCACCTCAATTATTCATTTTCTTAGTCTTTAAAAATATATATTCACTCCGTATTTTTCAGGAAAAAAAAAATATATATATATACTCATTCATTCATTCATTCTCTCCCCCTCTCTCTCTCCCTCTCTCTCAGTCCCAGCAGTCATGGCGATGCCATCAGCACCAGGAGGAAACTGTACAGTGCAGTCCCTGGAAGACATTTTGTAGTGGTTCGTTCCTACACCCCCCAGTCTGAAGGAGAGATCAACCTCTACAAGGGTGACAGAGTCAAAGGTAAGACCAGGACCAGGACCAGGACCTGGACCAGGTGAGGGATGAGTCCGGTTTATCACTGAGGATACAGTGACAGTAGTACCACTGTATGAGTTGCTGCCACCTAGTGACTGGAGTTTTGTTATCATTTAAGCATTACAGCAGTGGTACACTTATGTCCAGCGTGCCATATTCTAGTGGAACCTGGCACCTCACCGCGCCCCCTCCAGGGGGGCCCGCCCCACTATTTGAGAAGTATTGCCCTAAAGGACGTGGCTAAAAGTTACGACTTCTCTTTAGTCTAATTACCAAATGCACGCAGTACTTGGGACACTGTGATCAGTATCAAACATTTGACTTTAATGTGAAGTTTCCCTTTTTCTTTTTAAGTGTAGCTGCTGATACATCATATTTCTTTTCACATACAGCTGAGTGCAGCCTGCCCACCCGCTGCCAAGAACCCGAATGAGACAGATGGCACTTCATAAAGTCAATGAGGGATTTTTAAGCAGCTGAGTTTCAAAGCCGTTACATCATCAAATATCTGTAAAAGACTCCCATCCCCGTGTCCTGTACAGTATTTTCTCTAAAGCAGTGATTTCCAAACACTGGCCTGCAGCACATTAGTGTGCCATGAAAAAATATCATCAGGGGTCCTGTAGAAAATGATCTAATTTGATAAAAGTATGAAAACTTTGGTTATTTATTTTGTAAAATATACTATAGTCTCTGGAAGTCTCACCAATCAAAATCCACTTGTAGTATATGGTATCTTCTTGAGCTAAAAAAATGTTAAATTTGTGTTTTTAGTAGCACTTTGGAATCCACTAAAGAGCTAAAAAAAAAGTTTTTTCTTTTAAATTTGTGTTTTTAGTAGCACTTTGTCACATCAGTGTGCGTTGGAAAACATTGTCCAATTATATTGTAGAACTCAGCCGTTGTGTGTTTTTGACTTTTTGAGATGCTCGCATCACTTTTATGTCTAGATCACGCTGTGAGCCAGATTTTATTTTTTAATATCATACTGCTGCACTTCAAAGAACCTGAAGTAGACTACACCTCTGAAGCCTTGTTTACTTTTCTATAGATGCTCTGAATGGTCTCTTGGGACACACTTTTCCTTTACTTTCCTGGTAAACCAATGTTATCTTTCACCCTCTCCTCTCTTCTCATCGTTTCCCTTCGTTCCAGTTCTAAACATCGGTGAGGGAGGATTCTGGGAAGGCAGCGCCCGTGGCCAGGTGGGTTGGTTTCCAGCCGATTGTGTGGAGGAGATTCCAGTCAAGGCCACAGAAGAGAAAAGCTGTAAGTGAAAATGCTCAGGGCATTTAATCATTGGGGGGTGGGACATCGGTGTATGTAGGACGCGCACTGTGTGGCATCGCCCAGTTTCCAGCAAAGACACACAGACAAAGGCCGACTTGAAGGCCACGGGTTCCTGAGGCAGCACCAGGACACGTGCTCTCGTTCTGCCTGCTGCATGAGCCGCGCGTGTCTCCATCCTGGCTCCCCAGGCTGTGGCGCACAAAGCTAAGCGCTACGTTGCCCTGCTAACTCAGCTGTGCTCTGAAGGCCCCCTGAGTGGCAACCCGGCTCATATTAACATCTTATTCTGCCCCTGTTCTTCGCTGCCGCTGTATCTGAGCAGTGCTCTTGGGTGTTAGAGGAAAGAGACCGTTCTTCCTTCGTCCTAATCCGCTGATGTTCTTTCACTCTGTTTAATTATTGACATTATCCCTTCAGTAAGTCTATGGAGTCAACTGCAACACAATCCCATGTCAACCTTCACTCTCAACATGGTGGAAATTACTTTTTGTATTATTTCCCAAGGTTTTTTTCCACTAATGAGATTTTTTTTTTTCTTTTCGAAGCAGTGCCAGTATTTAGGAAATTAAATTTTTCTTTTCAAAGCAGTGCCAGTATTTAGGAAATTAAATTTAATCTTTTCCCTTCTAATTTAATTTTAATGCTAACTCCAGTCCCACACCAGTTCAGAGGATTTATTGGAGCATCCTTATGGTAGTAAGATATTTAAATGTTCCAAGTTTTGATGCATTTAAGACACATTCCATTACAGTGTTGAAGGCATTTCTTTCATTTTCTTACATCCTTCAGTCACACACAAAATGCAAAATGTTCCGCTAATTTATGTTGCTAATGCTTTATGCAAGGTGTTAAAAATCATCTTTGTTTTTCTTTTTTGGGGAAGTTGAGTCTTAAAGCTGAGATTTTGAAAGTAGCTCGCTTATTGTCAGCAAAACAGCTGTGTTTGTATAGTCAAAAAGAAGCAACACTTTTCAATGTTATGAAAATGAATGGTACCACTGTTTGGAGATATACTGTACCATGCAGCACCTGCTCCTCAAATTCACCCTGCTTTTCAGGTGTATAATAGCAGGAACAGAGGCAGATGGAGAGCTCTCTCTCTCTCTCTTTTACTTCCCTCTTCTCCTTTTTGTCCTTTGCTCCGATTATTTAAAATCTTAACTCCAGGCTGTTGGCACCGGCTTCTCCTCTCATACTGTTCCACATTCAGGCTGCCCGCAGGTTTGCCTGAGAGAAATCCGGTCAAGGAATGGGGGCACAGTATGGCAGTCTTAACAGATCAATTTATAGGCAACTGCCCTGGTCTGCCTTGTGTAAAACACAAAAAAAGAAGATGCACAAATAACCCACCCACAAATGTGTTTAGGTGTATCTGAAATAGGTATTTGTAATGTAATTTGAAACATCTGAAATAGGTATTTGTAATGTAATTGCCTAACATTTCAGGAAATTAACCATAAGCAGAACTGGAGTATCCGCACGGTGCTGTGGCTTTGGAGTGGACCAGGCAAAGTAGGCCATCGCATAATGTCTTAAACTAAGTGTTAAAGCCCACAGGGATATAAATTTGAGTCACCCTAAAATCAGAATAAACCTCCTTCATTTCCATAATTTTGTGTGCAGGGGTTTGCCTTTTATCTAAAAGACCAGGTCTTGTTGCCTTAAATGCACAACGCAGACACCTTGTTAATTTCGTAATCCTGTGTGCAAGTACAATTCACAAGCTTCGCAAAACAAAACCAAAAAGAAAAAGAAAAAAAGGAAAATTGCCTGAAGTGAAAAGCTCAACATAATTATTCGTCAGATTTAGAACCATGATAATCATGGATCTGAATTTAAAACAGCGGACTGCGAAAAGGTTGCAGGTGGTGAAAAAGAGAAGAAAACAAAATATAAATGAATGAATATATTTTACTGAACCTTGGATAAAAAAAAAATCTAGAATTACTCTATAGGGGTCGTAATGCAACGGTCTACAGCAGAAGATTAAACAGCCAAAAATTACCCATGTCGTCTGTTCATGTTTTTCTTCAGTGTGGTGTTATTTGGTCCATGTCTTATTAGCATGTTTACCAGCTGCGTTTGTGTATAACATGTAACACTGGACTGGACTGAACACCTACATATGGCAGTTGACATGAGGCAGATGTCCATGCCAACAAAACAAATGCTTTTTTTTTTGCAGGAACTCTAGTGGCAGCTGGAGCTTAACAATTCCTTGCAAGTGGGGCAGAGAGCTGCTGATGATCCCTTCTGCAGAGCTCATGACCCTCACAGTATTAGAAGAGCTCCTACAGTTTAGCCAACCGCCCATCACACCACAGAGACACAGTAGGGCAGGATCTTTTTTAACAGCCTCAGTTCCATTTCTTTCTTTTTTTTTTCAGCACTCTCTAGAGCAGTGTTGTTGACCAAGCGAGTCGCTCTGTTTTATACTAACCCCACCTGCGGGAACTTAAAAGGGCAGCACTGACAAACTTTGTTAGGGTTCAGGTTCGAATCCTGGGGAGTGCTCACACACAAACACACAATACTCAATAATACAGCTTTTACACAGTGTTTGAAACAACAACCTTGACATTGTACATTAAAAATGCACAATTTATTTTATTTAATGATGACATTACAATCCCAAAAATTACATTAAGGCATACGTATAACGACTTACCAGAAGGAAATAGCAGTTCTATTGAATGACCACCAGTGGGTGTGGGTGGAACCTGTTCCAGCTGGTGTGCTGGTTGGTCAGCTTTTAATGGAAATAATCAGAATCGGTGTTTATTTTAAAGTATGTTGAATTTGATTTGGTATTTTGGAGTAGTTAATAAGTAAAATTTGATAAAATAATTATAAATCCTAAGATATAGAATAATAAACATGTGGTAAAGACAAAATATAACATGACAGATAATTCCTGAAACATCTAACAGTAATGTAATGTTAGCTGTATTGTCTGTTTGTTTTTATGTGCTGGGGTTGAGGCGGGTTGGATGATAGTTTGTTTTTATGTGCTGGGGTTGAGGCCGGGCTGGGAGTCAGACACAACCAGACGGCCTGACTGTATATTGACATTTTATCATCATACACAAACTGCTGCGTATACGGTGCACACACACGCACACTCACACAATCACATTCACACACTGTGTTCCTGCACCATCTGTATTGATCTGTGGCCATGGAAACCAGTTGGCTGCAGTCACACAGCAGTTGCTATGGTGCATGATTGTGTGTATCGGTCTGTGTGTGTGTGTCCACTCTATTACTTAACTCTTTCCACTATCTCTTTTTTTTTTCTTAAAAAAAAATACAAAGACAGTTTTTCTTGTTAGAACGTCTATGTCTGTATCTGTACTTCTCCCGCCCTCCATCTTATACTGGACACATTGAAATAGGGCAGAAAAGAAAAAAAATGTTACTGATCCTGCAAAGATGTCAAGATGTAATCTGGATCAGAGGAGATGGGAGTTTCTGTGAAAGTGTGACAGCTGGTGTGAGAGATGGAGAACAGAGGAGGGTGAAGGAATCTTGATCCTGAGGTCGCGGGTGTGAGTGAGTGTGGCTGCACTTTAGTAAGTGCTCAACCAGCATGGGTTTTGGAACTATTTATTGTGTTGCAATGATTTAAAAAATGTTTTACTAACAAATAAGCACATTCATATTAGTTTCATATTAGTTCATATTAGTCAAATATTAGTTTTAGAATGTATTCTAAATGCATATACATTTACATACACATATACACAGTATACGTATACGGACTACAAGCCGGAAATGATAGGCTACCGCGTGTTACGCTAGTATCGTATGTCTGTCTGTGAATGGCTGCGTGTGTATATGTGCGTGGGGGCGCGCGAGAGAAAGAACAGTAGCGAAAGTTGAGAGCAGTTTAAGCCCTGTTATGTTGAAGCGTGAGTTGGTTAAACAGGCTGTTAAAACGCCGTTTATGTACTGTTGTGCTCGGTGTGGTTGATAATAAAGACCCCAACTCCCTTGTTTCTGTTTACCTCTGCTGCGGACAAGCACGAAGTGAAGGGAGTTAGCCCCGGAGCTAATGTTAGCTTCCGCTGTGCATTCCAACGGTCGTGGTACCGAAGCAACACAGAGCTAACGTGTAAACAGGTCGCCGTGTTACAGGCACCGTTCGGGGGAAAAAAGCATTTATTTAATTAAAAGTGTAAAAGAAAAATCTTTCTGTGTAAATAGCCCATGCTACAACGTGGGCATCTGCGGCCTGTAGAGTAGTGCGGCCTACATTCATGTGCATTACGATATATACAGTATATACTGTATGCTGAATGCATATGAAAAACCACAGTGACTTTTTTGGAAAGTAAGATATCATTTACTCATACTTTTCTGTGTTTTAGGGCATGTCTCATAAACAAAATTTAAAATTTTTAAATTTATTTTCAATTAGATAATGTATTTATATCTTTATGCTGTATGTTTATAAAGTTCATGTTCACATTAACCTGCAGCAGCCAGCTACTGTAGGTTTAAAGTGTAAATGTCGATGTTTTGCAGATTCTCGAGCGGACCGCGCCGACAGACGGAAGCTTTTCAGACACTACACCGTGGGCTCCTACGACAGTTTTGATGCCTCCAGGTAAGACTGACACACACACATACAAAATATAAAGAAATATCAACAGGAAACAACATAAACGTAGCACCAAGATTTTTCAGATGCAGTTATGAGATGTCCTTCAAAAGCTGTGTATAATAATTGATTGTCTCAGAGTTTCAGCTTCTTGTTGCACTACTACAGTATATTTGAATTACTGGAATTTAGATGTTTATTCTGTTTGTGTGTTGGGGAGGAGGTCAGGGGATGTACAGTGTGTACAATGTCTGCACATTAACTTCTTGAAGTCCCTTAGTCCTTTACTGACACACTGTGAAAGTAAATGAATAATTAATAGTTTGGTTGTGGTCAGATGCCAGGCTTGAAATACAAATGAGTCGAAGTCAATATAGTGTCCAAATTACTATACCAAAAATATATAAAGCTTTTGTCAAATACACTTTGAGCTATAAGGAGTACTTTACTCTCTTATCTATCATTCGGGGAAAAATATTTTCCTTTTTCTCAAAAATAAGGTGAAAAGTAAGAAGAAAGAACAAGCAGTAACACTTTCTTTGGACATTTCATCATTAAAAGTTTGCTGGAATCTCTGACACATCAGACATAATTGTTGCCTGATATCAAGCTCTCAGTGCAACAGTAAAAAATAGTTGTTATGCTGCCAGTGGTGCTAGTGATGTAAAATTGATCAGTTATTCTCACTTGGCCAAAGACGTTATTTGGTGCTGTGTTAAACTGCATGAAAGGAACCAGGTGCTACAGTTGCTGTTAGTATTACTATTTTCTTATTTAGATTTCCACCTTAATGTTATTACTAAACGTCCAGAGAACAAACAGGTGTTTTATTGCACACTGGTTCTACCTCCACATCCTCTTACTCATTTACAGAAGCTCAAAACAGGTCTCGGTCTGACCAGTCAATAATCTTTGTTATCATAATTTGCTGTTAGTGTAGCGCTGCTGTAGAATGAAAGAACAAACACAAAGAACACTGTCACATCCACCACATTACTCAGCAGGACACTCTCTGACAGAACATGCTGGAAGGTGTTTTCCCTAGTTTGTGTACATGTGGGTCAAGGTGAACCACTTTTAACACTGTAGCTCAGAGCTGAAGAGTGTGTGACATCAGAAGTCCGGGGGAGGAAATAAGTTTAACCTGGAAGTGGACTGAGTTTTGTTATCTGTGCCGGAATGTTTGAGCTAAATATGGAAATATTTCCAGACAGTAGCAACAGGCCTTTGTCGTTTTAAAGACTAATGAATGTTTTGAATCTCATGTACAGTACCCGTCTCCAAAGTTGTTTTCGATGCTTCTGTGAACAGCTCTCACATGTGAGGTTACATGTTTCGATATTGCCTGGACTTTGTTGCGGTGCCAACTTCAATATTGTGAGAACAATTGTGAAGACACTATGTGGTAACATTAGAGTGAATTTAATCATTATGGTGACGTTGTAAAAGTGTCATGGGTGAAATTCATGGTAGAACTTTATGAACTGGTTTTGATGTGCGTTTGATTCATTAGGTCCATGTCAGGAAACCCTGATGGTTTTGTGTGTTGTCTTTTCTCTGTGATTGTTCTCTCAGCTGTGGAGGGACGTGTGTATTTGTATGTGTGTATGCAACACAGGGAGATAACCTTCAGTGTGTCAGCAGTGTGGGTCTCCTTCGTCTCTAGACAGATTGTGTTGCTAAGGGAACTGTTGCTAGGACGGCAGTTGCACCTCTCTCTCCTTCTTTATTCTTTCTCCCTCCCTCCCTCGCTCTCTCTTTCTACCTCTCTCATCCCACGTGTCTATTCAGCGTAATCCTCACACCTAATATAACCTGAGAGAAGAGCCTCACAGCAAACACATTAGCCCATAGCAGCAAACTTGCCCGTGGAGCCGTAGCTGGTTCCATCCTCCACTTGCTTCATTGTGCAGATGACGCCGCTCAGTGTCGCCACACCAGATCTCGCCATGGTTACTGCCGGAAGGGATGAGAACTGTACCACGTCAGGCTGTCATTATTCTTAACACGAAAGCCCTGTGTTTAATAAGGGAAAAAAGAAAGTTAATAATTATTATAATTATGAAGGCACGTTAGCACCAAAAAAAGTTTTGGCATTAACTTTGGCAGGCTGCCTTTAAATGATCACCATCGACGCACCAGCCTTCATTTTGTTTTATGTGGCATTTGTGCTTCTGTGTTTTTAAATGATGGCCACGTGACCACTGAGCTTCTCTTCATTTCAGACTAAATATATGATTCTGAAAGGCATTTTCTTTTTTATCAATAGCTTTAGAGTGTACGTGCTCCAACTCTGCACTCTTCTAACACTGCATGCACACCTAAAGGGTTAACTTTATACGTGGCCCCTTGTTGTGCACGACCTAAGCACAGAATGACTCTCCTAAAGGGTAGGTCTCAGTTCTCTTCTAAACAAACCATGATATGATTCACTTTTACTGCCACATCACACCAGAAATGTTATTGGCAATATTTGGAGTGTGTAATAGTGCCATTTTAGTGGCATTTTCATATTACAGTAAAACATGTTTCCTGATTTTGTTTGCCCAAACAGCAAATGTTTAGTTTTCTTAAAATGTTAACTGACAAATATAAAGATGGGTGTTTTTATAAAAGATTCTTTCTTACTTTTCTTGTCCTCTCTCTGTGCCAGAATTATTATTTTTTTTACTTCCAAACTTAAAGGCTTTAGAATTGTTTGACTTTATCTGTGTTTTTTTGTTGTTTTTTTTGCATACCACCTATACTTCTAAATCATTGTAGACCAAGTTTTAGATATCGTTGAATGGTTCTGCCTCGAGTGCCTTGAGAAAACATGCACAAAATTATTAAATTTCATTTTTAATACATTATGTTTTGCATTATCCCATGACTGTGCTTGAAATGGTTTGATAACATGTGCATGTCCAGGAGTAAGAAGTCAATAGAGCTTCACTGCAGTGAGGGTGAAGCCACAGAGTAAACAAAGACAGAGCTGTAAGTCTATGTCTATGAGGAGAAAGAAAATGTGACTTGGTCTCAAACATCTGGCCCATAGAAATATGTAAGACTTTATGTAATCTTTAAATATTGTCCTAGTAGTTATATAATTTAAAACTCAAATTAAGTTTTTAAGGTGTTTGGACATGGCCATGTCTTGGAAACTGGCCTGAATAGCAATAAAATAATAATTTGATTGACCTAATTAAGCTGTCTCGCACGCGCTTTGTAAACACGCACACGCGCAGTGTCGCACGTGCACGGTCTCTGCGTCTCACTCCCGGTGTTCGGTGCGCGCTAATGTCAGATGCGCACTCTGTCTCGTGTGCGCGTTCTGGCGCGATGGTAATTTCTGAACACAGGAGTCGGCGCGCATTTCAGAAAAGTCCTGAACAAGTTCACGTGAAACATGCGTGCACTCGAGAGTCAAAACATCCGTCCATCCCAGCATAGACTTTGACGCTTCCTCCCTCACAACCCTCGCTCTCTCTCTTCCTCTCCCTCCCTCCCTCTCTCTCTCTCTCTCCCCCTTATACTCGCTCCCTCGTTCTCTCTCTCTTCATTCCTCTCCCTCGCTCTCTCTTTCTCTCATCATGAGCCATTAGCCGCTAACACCACTATGCGCCTCAGGAAACTCCTCGTTAAAGGCTCAGGGCTCACACACCACCGGCCACTAAAGGCTCAACCGCAACAAAGGAGGGGGTAAAAAAAAGAAGAAGAAACGACGGTAGACGGCTGCAGCTGCGGCGGCGGAGAGGGACTTTTTTTTACCGCGAGGGAGGGGTTGGCGGGAAGCAGTGAGGGGAGACTCTCTCTTTCTCTTTTTCTCTCTCTCTCTCCCCCTCTATCTCACCCACCCCCTCGCTCTCTGTATCTCTTCACCCCCCTCTCTCTCTCTGGAGATGCTGTGGCCGGGCTGCCGGGCCCGCTGTCACATCGCTTGATAGACATAGAGGCCGTAAGGAGAAGAGCAGGAGGAGGAGGAGGAGGCAGCGGTGGTGGTGGTGGTGGCTGTGGTGGTGGTGGTGGTGGTGGTATCTACACTAAACGGCTGCCCTGCCCTGCCCTGCCCTGGCCGGACTAGCTCTCCATCATCAGCAGCATCAGGAGCAGCGGCATCATGAACCTGCACTCGGGCAGGACGTCCATGGCCATGCTGCGGATGATGGGCTGTGCTAACGGACGCTCTGCTCGGCATCTCCTCCACAGTGACTGCGTGGTGGACGAGAAGACGGTGGTCCTGCAGAAGAAGGAGAACGAGGGCTTCGGCTTCGTGCTGCGAGGGGCCAAAGGTAGGACTTTTATTTTGTTGAGCTCATCAGCTGTTTCCTGCCTTTCACTCCACACTGTCAGTCCTACACCTGAGCAGAAGCTGGACATCTGCCTGATGGTCATGTATGTTTAACAGATGTATCCTCCTCTCTCCTCTGTGCACAAACACCATGTTTTCACAAACATGTTAACAAGTTCATCGGACCTTAATTTATATAAGAAGCATTATAAAAAAATATCTACACTAAACTAAAACAAAAAACAAAAAGGAAAACTTGCTACTATTCCTCTGACTCCTTGTTTATTAGCTGAGATGTTTTCCCATGTTTGCTTTTTCTTTTTGTGCTCTGGTGGTCAAGATGCTTCTGGGTGAAAAGACCAGACACTAGGTTGTTTGGACTGTCCTTTTCACTTTTAAAACTCTTTGATAAAAGCCCAGTCTTGCATTGGAATGATGACAACTCTGATGTATCTCTATAGTTGGTCTTGTTATTTAAAAATATCCGTTATCATGCTTCCACCACCAATAATGTTATATGACTAAAAATAAGACAGGCTCAGTGAAGTTAGTTCCTTGGTCAGAGGCAGGAATAGACTATGGTCTGATGTGTAAAGTACTGTGTGCAGATGGTTAATGGTCTCTCTGTTAATGGATGTCTATAAGGGGTTCAGTCTCACAGACCATTAATAGACCACGGTGCTTGGACTTTCTTGAGTCATATGAAGACATTTACCTCTTATACAGGAAGCTCTTATGATTTCAGTTGAAAGTCAATGTCTCTGTGGACCAGGACCTGACAAATATATAGCTACCCCAAGTCTAGGTCTGATTTAACTCAACAAATAACTAAACATTGCCACATTTTTTAGCAGCATTAAACAGGAAATAATTTTTATATATATATATATATATATATATATATATATACATATATATATATATTACACAAGTACAAGGTGCCCGACATATTTTTCAAATATTAACAAGCTCACCAAACACTGGCAATCTGATTACATGTTTTAATTTGTAAAACTAAACATATAAAGGAATTGTTAAAGGTTTACTTAAAAAATCCATCGGTAAAATGGTTATAATCATTGGGTTTAGTTTTCTCAGAAGTTTCTTCCACTATCCTAAAATTATATTTTTGTGAATGTACAGTCTTGGGATAGACCGTGAGTTGCCAGTTTGGCTGTTATAGAGGAGAGTAGATTAAATTTGATACTACGACACTATGATATGAGAATAAGTCAAAATCTTGTCATTTGCTTTTGCCAGGGCAGTAGTTGACATCTGATTACCCATATGGTTTACATCTTTTTTTCTGCATCATGACTTGTTGTGAAATGAGTTCCCTGTCCAGGCAGTTTGATTTCTCACCGGGACATGTGATTGGCTCTAAAAATAGCCAGGGTATACTGCTGCTGATGCTGCTGCTGCTGATGCTGCTGATGCTGATAATGATGCTGCTGCTGCTCCTCTTGTGTTGGATTTTTGTGACGATGCTGGTTTATGTCAGAATCTACATTTGAATGGAAGTAGCTGTGTGATTGGTTCTGCACCACCAGCGAAAAAATGTCTTGCATTCATGTTTTCGTGTCACTTTTCCCCTCATATATAAAATCATATGGAGAGATATTATGAGTTGCGAAAAAGAAGAGAGGAAGCTTAACGAAATTTTGGTTTGAAAAACAAATGGAATGTTCGAGTCCTTCTGATACT